GGCAGAAGACTAGGTGACCGATTCCGAGAACACCTTCGAGACGTGGAAAGGAATGACAAGGACACATCTAAACCAGTCGCTAGACATTTTAATTTACCTAATCATTCTAAGCAACATATGGCAATCTGCGGTCTTTCCTTGCACTTAGGTGGCACGGAAAGCCGTAAAAATCTTGAACAAAAGCTCATCTTTCAAACCGGCAGTCTCAATCCCACAGGGATCAATGAACGCTTTTCATTCCACTAATTTATTCATGTTTTTCTCGTTGCCATGCACCCACCAATAACGTAGCTCCATTTTCTGCCTTTAAAAGCACACCAACCCACAATTCCTCTATTCGCTCCGACGAAGGGCTAACGCTCGAAACGTCAGCTTTTGTAATCATTACGGTGGCCAATTTACCATTTCAACTTTTGTTGATATATCCAAACACAAATAAGACACGACACCGGATAAGAAGCCCCTTGGTCAAAACCTATCTCAATTTGAGACTATTCAGTTCAATTATGTCGCTTGGAGAAGACAAACTGGCTGGTCAGCTGGGTTCCCGCGGGATCTAATCTCATTGTATCCCGCAGGACGTATGGGGATCCTGGGTAAGCTTGGGCACCCTCGGGATCTGGTCCCGCTCTTTCTCACAGAACACGTGGAGACCCACGTTAGCATTTGCTTCGGCAAGATCTGATCGGGCTCTATCCCCGACAACGCGTTTGAATGTCACAAAAGGACTGAGAACGAAAGAAAATGTTGAACAAGGCGGTCGAAGTTCTAAAATTACGACTTATTGAGACTGTCTTCAAGGCCAGGTTGGTTATGGATGTAGAAACTTGGGTATTACTGGCTGCTCCTAAATCGAAGGGGAAACAAATAGAATGGACCTCTAACAGTTATTTTGAATGCGTAGATCAATTCGAAAATCAATTCGAAGATCACTTCGAAGCTTCGACACCCCCACGGGCAACTCCCAGGGCATTTGAACTTTCGAAATTGGTTCGTTCAAATACCCTACCCAAGCTATTCGCTCACAGGAGTGAACTCTTTACCTTTAAACACTTGATATTAAAAGATGAAACACTTGTATTCCGCCGAAATGATTATCCAAATTCTCCACCCTAGCCAGGTAAGGTTGAAATTCACTACTTCCAGGGCACTGAGGACGCCAGTCAAATGCCCGTGCGTTTTTCAGGGGAAGGGGTATGTTGAAGTTTCGATTGATCGGTGCGCATGATCATACTGGGCGGTATTTAGTAGACTACAAATGGTCCAACATTCTGTCGACACTCAGGCGAGATATTCAATGTGAAAGTTTTATTTAGGATGAGTCAGCCAGCCTTGTAGTATACCCATCCTACTAAAATCTACAATGTACTGTAAGTATTCACTTAAACTGAAGGGTTATACAAAAATAGCTTGTGCTACGCCAGATACGAAAAACCAATAAAAAACCACTCTTTAGAAGTGGTCAAAAAATATGTGGAAACGTATTCCTCATCTAATGCAGCAGCACTATACTCCGAGGAAAGGGTGATTAAAGTAATAGCACACAAACTTCTGTTACAAATTAAACATGACAGTAAAACGCATGTTGGAAAACAAGATCAGTAAACTTTACTTGACGTTTCGTATGTTTCGACATACATCTTCAGAAGTGACAGTTAATAATACACGTGGCGACTAAGTTTAAATTTAAGATAAGTAACTAATTAACA